TATGGCAATATTCCCCCACCACCCCATTTGAAACAGCCTTCTGCATCGAAGGGATGTGTTTTGTCTGCTTATTGTAAAGCATACAGAGGCATGTTTGCAACTCACCTGGGTCTTCAAGGGATCTTGGTTTTTGACCTGAAATGAGGACATAGCAGAGTGCCGGACTATTATTTATATGACAGTAGTTAGCACCAGCCAGGTCAAAAGCTGTTGTGCAGAATGCTCAGCTGATGGGCAGTGAGAAGTGGTCTCTCCTTTCACAGCTTACAACTCCAGCCATGGTTGGATGTAAAGGCCTACTCAGCGTTCGGAAGAACTTCTCCGAGTTAAGTGAAAGTGCTGATAATTGCAGGGTTAAGGTTTCCGCTTGACATCCTGCGAGGCCTACTCAGCGTTCGGAAGAACTTCTCTGAGTTAAGTGAAAGTGCTGATAATTAAGGTTTCCGCTTGACATCCTGCAATGGCTGTTTTTGGCCTGTTACATAGTGGAGTGCAGCTTCTCTTTCTCGTCTTCAAACTGTGGTGTTCTACTGCTTCAGCAGAGGTAGATGGAGATACCTGCATGTCCTGCAACTTGTAACAGCTTGTGTATGTGCCTTTGAGTTGCTGAGCTGAATGAAGGAGAAATATGGCGAGTAAGTTATCCTTACCTGTTGTTCTGGGTTTTCCTGAATCACTCTCACCTTGGACTACTGGTGAGTTTGAAGCATGTACCATGTCTTGCCCAACTACCTTGTTAGGTGTGTGGTTTCCCTGGAACAGACTCTCCTAGTGACCCAGGGTTCATTTTCCTAGATGTCATTTTTCAGTTAGGAAGGATAAACTACTGAAATCACTAAGCTACTCAAGAAATTACAGTGTCTCCCTCTAAATGAGGGAGGTCTTACTACTTCTCCTTCCTCCTCTGCTTTTGGCTGTGGCCAATATTTGCCTCTTGCACGTGCTGTAGTTCTCATTAGATCCTTCAGTGAGCTGCATGAGGTAGCTGATAGGACAAAAACTTACCCAGCTCTTCACATTGGGTTAGTCTTGGGGTTGTTTTGGTTTTTTTTTTTGTTAGGTAAGTGAATTCAATTCAGTGGCAATCAATAAACAATACTGAGCACCAGAGCTACAAAAAGCAAGCACTGCACCAAGTATGTGGCTGAAAGGAGGAACGGCAAGGGAAAATTTCCCCCTTTTGGCAGTGTTGAACTGTTAAGTCATCCCTGCATCTCATGGAGCAGCAGCCTGAGGCTGCAGGTGCAGTTTGCTTTTGTACATCTTCAGCCTGGCGCTTCCTTACTTTTCTGGGAGTGACAAGGTTCAGTCCTACCTTGAAGTTTTCTCCTAGTTGTGTTAAGCTGCTCTTCAAAGCACAGCCCAGAATCGTTCTTCTAGAGAGACTGATGGAGTTGGATTTCCAGAGAAACTATGTCCTGTGCCACAGTCTCCAGTGAGTGTCTCTTGCCCTCAGATTGCTGGAGTCAGTTATGTTCTTTCACCTGTGCAGCTGACCAGCCCTACCCGAAATTCACGGAAATCAATGGAAGATCTCCTTTTCTCTCAAATGAAAAAACCTGAGATGTACACTAGTATTTTAAAAAAATTACATTGGTGATATCTCCTCTGGCTTTGTGTTTAAAATTTTTGTGCTCCTCTGTTGTTCTTCTCTTTCTTCAAAAACCAACAGATTTAATCATATAGGCTGAGCACTTCTTGGAACCTTTCCCATAATGTAAGAGGACCTCAAAGAGCTTGGTTTCTGAGCTTAGCAAAAAATGAAGATGTGAGCATAAAGGCCATCCTTGGGTCAGGTCAGAGGACCTGCACCCTGTTGTTGAAAGCAGAAGAGGTACAGGGTAGTCCTTTTGCAGGTTTACTATTCTAGCTTTTGGCTGTCAGTGTCTGAGCTAGAGTTGCTGGGACTATAGTGTAAAAGTTCATGATGGCTCTATTCTCAATTTATCTGATCCTTTTCTGAATACCTTTGTGATTCACTTAATGTGGCTGTAAGCTTTTTCACGATATTTGTCGTTATTTGAAGGAAGTGCCTCCTGACTGAGGGGGATATTGGGGTACGTATCTATTTACTTTAACGCCACTGTCTTTTTAGGTGGAGGTGCCCCCAGTTCTTACTTTATGGGAAATAGTGAGTGAGCATGGTTTGACTTTGACATAAGCTCTGTAAAGATCTTAAGGTATCCTTTTTAGAAAGTATTTCAAGTAGTATGCTTCATTTGAGTGTCTTGCTTCAGCTTTGAGCTCTGCTGATTTATGTGCCTTGTGATATAAAATAAGACTTGTAGTAAGGGAACTTGGGGAATTATTGAGAAGAGCAGACCTTCATTCGCACTAGAAGCAGGGTGGCTTTGCCTCTCTTAGCCCAGGGAATTGGCTGCTACTAGCCATGACTTGAATGTAGCAAGGCTAAAAAAAAGTCTTCATTCATCGGTAATTATTTCTTTAATGCCAGAAGGAATGGTTGCATTGCTTACTTTAATCCCCTGTCTATCAGTAACCATTAAATTTCATTGGATTATGCTTTTATTGAGCCAGGTAATGTGTGTTTCACTTGATTCTTTCCCCAAAGATTTCTGGTAATTATTTGAATGCTGGCATAGAGGATGGAGAATCACTTGCTTTCTGTCATAGCTTATTCCATTAGTCATTCTCCCTGTTTAATAATAAAAAGGGGGGGGGGGGGAAGGGGGAAGGGAGCTGTATTGGGGATTTTGCTAGTTACTGAACCAAGTGTGTAGAATATATAATTTCCGTTCTTACAGAAGGAGATGTGATACCCTGTAAATTACAGGGCTGTCCGATGGATAAACAGGTAAATTAAGTGTTGGTAAAATACTCTGTGACTAAATATTGAAGTCTTTTGTCCAGGAGGATTGATTCGTGTGTGTGTGTTTTAGCCTCTTTGTTCTTTCATGGCGTTGGGTAGCATAGGTTGCGATTTGGCTTCACGTGGCTGTTCTAGTGTCATTGCAAATTTAGTGTATATGCGCTCCCTCTAGTGGTCTTCAAATAGTAAACAAATTAGAAAAAGTGTCAGAAGCCTTAAGCATTGGTGCCTTTGATTATTTTCTATTAGAAACTAATTTGAAAGTGTTTTTTAAATTGAATTGAACTCTCTAGGAAATATTTTGTATAATCTGAAACAAAAATAATTCTACTAAGAAGTCTTTTTTAGCAGGTGATCTTTGTTGGATTTAAAAAACCAGCCTAATAATGCACATTCTGCCATGCAGTCAGCTCCATATTATTTCGTATGAGGGGGAGGCTGTGATGTTCCGAATATTGGAAAACTGAGATACTGTAATGATAGACTTCTCTCTGAGGGCTCAGCTGGAGTCTGGTGCAGGGCCAGACCTTAATAAGCCTCGTTGGACTTGGACTTATTTTGTGAACAGCCACTAGGCTCTGTCTCCATTACATACTTGGGTGCTCTTGCTTCTTTACACGGAGTCTATTTAGATTTGTGCAGTTAATTAGCCTGGGCTCCACTCACCAGGAAAACGTGTCTTCCAGCCCCAGACCAGCCAGCTTTGGAAACGGGGCTGGCCGCATTGGAACGGCAGCGTGCCTGCGGTCAGTGAATCCAGCGGACTCAGGCTGCCCCTGCGTGCAGGCAGCTCTGGTGTCCCCGTGGATAATTAAGCATTGGTCCTATTGTTGTCTTTAGGAATATATGAAGATGTTAATAGGTTGGGGTTTTTTTTAATTATTTTAAATTTATTTTTTTTTTTAATAACCTATCCCATTGGAGCATCCTGGAGCGCTCTCCCTGTTGGAGAGAGGCTTGGGGAGGACAGCTACAGGCACTAACTGCATTACTGGTCCTAGCTAAATTCACAAATGAATATGACCTAGGATATTTTAATGTTTTCAACTTTTCTCCCTCTGCCCCCATCTTTTTTTTTTTTCCCCTCAATGTGTGAAAATTTTGGATAGTACTGTCTGCTTGCAGAAAGAGGTGTTTAAATTTTGACGTTTCCTTTTTGCCAGTGTTCAGTTCAGATAGAAGAACACTTAGAATTTGTCTGTCATAGATTTGTTGGGGATTTTTTGTTTGTTTTTAACTTAGGCGTGATGCCATGCTAATTCAAGTCCTGTGCTTCATGTATTCTCTATTTTATTCATTTCAAGAGGCAGTGTTTGGTGCCCAGAGAAGAGAATTATTATGTGTTCTTTCTGCCCCCACACTTCGAGCTTTTATAGGTAGTATGTGACAGCATCCATTGACTGCAATAGTTAATTTTCATGAAGCAGACAAGGCTTTAGGAGATTAAACAAAAAAATATGAACCATGGAATTCCAGAAAGGGGTGAAAGTTAGTGGTTAAGAACCAACTATAATACGGTTACCCAGCATGAAGTGTTGATTAATTATACTTTTAATATGTAGTTAATTCTGCCTTTTATAACTGGCATTCAGGATAGCAAAGGGATAGACTTGTTTTGTCAATTGTGTGCATGCCAGATGGAGCCTTAATATGTGTCAGCAGATAAATGGGCCATTATTAAGATTAGATGCATAATGATCATTTCAGCCTTGTTTATTTAGGTCATCGACAGCAGTAGAAGATGATCTCCTATAAGTAAAAATACTTTAGGATCTGAAAATCTTTTGCTTTTCTTAGACTGCTATCAAAATAAATGTAAAAGGTTTGGTGTCTAGTTTTGAAGTAACACATTAAGTTAACTTTTAGTTTACTTAAGTGAGAATGGAAAAAATTCTACCATAAATAATTCTACCAGTGACTGATTTGTTGTCCTGAGTAGTGAAGCTAATAGCTGTGTAAGCAGGTGAATTTGTTCATTTATTAGATGGAACTCCTGAAATTAATATTTTTACCTAGTATTTCAGGACAAGGCTCTTAGGTATTTACTTATTTGGTAGACAATACAATGTTCAGTTATATATGTATTCTTAAAAAAACACCTGCTACAACTTTAGACTCCTTGCATTAGTGAAAGACTTTGATGGTAATAAATGTCTGTGTTTTATTTCAGGTTGCAGTGTAAGATTTTGGAAGTCATAGCTCCAGCCCATCACAATGGGATGGCGAACGGCCACACCAGCAGTGCTGACGAAGACACAATTGTCATCAGTGACAGTGACGACTCAGAAACGCACAATAGCTCTGCACAAAATGGGTAAATGATACTTTTACAGTATAAAGCATTTGGGCGGGCTAGAAATGAGACTAAAACAGACGTGGCAGGGTCTGACTGAAACAAACTATTTGATCCGTATGGATTGTGAGTGTTCAGCCAGCTGAAGGTGACAAGCTGATATTCACAGGTGCCAGTTATGCTATATGTAATCCACCAGAGAACTGTGCGTTACGAGAAATGGAGTACCTACAGAATAATCATTGTTAATCTGTTTGGAATGACAGTGTTTCTCTTGAGAGACGGTGGAAGAGCCATGTATGACTATCACTAGTCCTGTGTGCTGTGGAACCTGTGCTGCTGTAGCTTGGAAAATGCAGTCATGTTCTGCATTTCTACAGTCTGGTACTACTTAGCATGATGTACTACTTCACTTCCATCATGGGGCTCAGATTTGAGATTGCCTTATAATAAGAGGACATGCTCTTACCTGAACTCTCTGAAAAGTCTTTCCAGAGACTTAATGTGTTTCTGTCCAAAATACAAAAATGTACAAAGCTTTCTTCATTGTGCATGTGTTGACATTATAGAAATATATACCATTGTATTTCATGGATTTGATTATGATTTTAGGTGCAGTGAAACAGTGTATGTCTTGTCTTAAGGAACTGCCTAGGCTGGAGTAGCTTAATAACATTGAATAAGAGAGCTTCTTTGGCTATAATTGTGGTGTTTAATTTGGAGTATCCCTTTACCGACCAGTAATTGAGTTTATCTATGCAGCTTATCCTAACAGTATAATGAGAAGAAAGATTTCCGTACTTTACAAGCACAATGTTGATGAAAGAAGAGGGTTTGAAGTGGGCCCCAATCTTGCATCTAGCAACATACAGGCTTTACGTGAACTGTCATTGACTTTGAGATATCATGTGGATGCAGAAGTTATTCTCGCTGATTGCAGCATGAGGACTTCCATGTCCTGACATGCCTTGAATAACTAGGGTGGGGCTCCTCACTTGGCTAAGAAAATAACATGGGATAAATAATCTTTAAAATTCTCTGCCGTCTCTTGAAGGCAGTGTCCAAGTTGTTCATGAAGAGGTCCTACATCTTTGAGAAAATAAATGCATTTTCTGTGTTCCACAAGGCATATGGCATTTGAAAGGAGGTTGGTCTTGGGATAATGCAAGTGTGCACAGAGCTGACTGTGGGATTGATTCCTTTATATTGCTGTCACTTCCATGCATGCAGAGCTGGTAGTAAGACTGAGTCTTACACTCCCAGTCAATCTGTGGTTCTCCCCAGCTGATTACTTATTCTGACAATGCAGACAAGGCAGGGAAAGTAATTTCTTTCTCTTAGAAAGAGAAATCTTTTGAGAACATACAAATTTTTGAAGCACTGTTCTGTGACATACCGAACTAACATTTATGCTACAACCTTAAATTGCAAACCTCTTACGGCTTTAAAATGCTTACTGGAAGTTTTAAGCGAGTCTTTTTATAAAAATGCAAGAGTGTAATAACACTCCAATTAGCTTCTGGATATATTCTGGATATATGCAAACTTCTACTCCCTGTACCTGTAGCAAGTATCTGAAAGTAGAGCATTGTTGTCAATTTTTGTATATTGGCATCTAAGATTCTTTATACTCTTACTCATAACAGTAAGAAATCCCACTGAATTGAATTACATCGTTTTGCAGCCCTAATCCTTCAGGGACTATATTCTGCTGTTTATGGAGAAACTTGGATGTGGAGAATATGGATGTTGTTCACCTTGGGACCAGCGTTACATTGATATGCGCAGAACCACAGTTCTGCCTCTGTCTGCACACACGTCTCCAGGTTTTGAGACCCTGCCTTCGTGCAAAGCTGCAGTGCCATTAAACAATGGTACAGCAGATGCTCGGTGTGTTTGTGAGAGAGGGGGAGGGGAGCACAGCACAGATTGATGGGCCATCTGCAAATATTTTTCCTAAAGAATCTGTAAGGCTAGAGAATCTTAACTGAAAATAGATGTCATTAGAGATACCAACCTTTCTCTGACCCCGCTTCTGTCTCTTCGTGCAAAGCTGCAGTGCCATTAAACAATGGTACAGCAGATGCTCGGTGTGTTTGTGAGAGAGGGGGAGGGGAGCACAGCACAGATTGATGGGCCATCTGCAAATATTTTTCCTAAAGAATCTGTAAGGCTAGAGAATCTTAACTGAAAATAGATGTCATTAGAGATACCAACCTTTCTCTGACCCCGCTTCTGTCTGCGTGGG